GAGGGAGGGAGGGAGGGAGGGAGGGAGGGAGGGAGGGAGGGAGGAAGGAAGGAAGGAAGGAAGGAAGGAAGGAAGGAAGGAAGGAAGGAAGGAAGGAAGGAAGGAAGGACTGGTTAACTGGACATCATTAACTTCATGCAGACTCTCCCACTGGTACATTTTCATCTTTAAATCACTTCTTGGTCTGTTGCCTTCATACATCTTCTCCTACATATCATTGCATGAGTGCAGCTACAGCGTGCACTCTCAGGACATTATTACCTGCAGTGTTCCCTCAGTGAGAACTGAACTTGGCAAAAGGGTCTTCTCCTACTCTGCTCCTGTTTCCTGGAATATTTTGCAAAAAGATCTGAAGCTCTCGACCTTGACCTCTATAAGTGGCTTCAAACAGCTGTTAAGTTCATGACAAAAACCAATGCATACATGTTCCTGTCTGTATTTTATATCACTTTACAACCTAGCTGTTTTTGTTTTGTTTTTATATCATTTATTTTTCATTACATATACTTTTTATATGAGTTTCTATTCTTGTCTGTACCTGAACTGTGTTTTTTGTTTAAACAGGTGCTTGAGGCTCAGTGAGACTATCCTGTATAAATAAAGGTTGAATGAATGCATGAAGTTACTTAGGTGTTTCATTTTGAAATTTGTGAATTCAAATGGAATAAATGATACAACTATTGTGTACAGGTAGTACTGTTAAGCAAATAATTCACTCAGACTGCAGTAATATCCAAATGACACTGTATTATGATTGGAGCTGAATTTAAAAAAAAAATCTTTTGAGAGAAAGTTTCTCCTCTGAGAAAACCTGCAAGTCAGTCAACAAATAAATTGTGTAAATATAAACCTGGGCCACAGCTGTCCTTGTTGATTTTTTTCTTTAAGGACTTCAAACTAACATACTGAAGGAATCCCAGAACAATAAACGTCTGTTAATGTTATTTTCCTAAAGAAATAAAGTTTACAGTTCTGACTCTGACGTGGGACTTTGGCCCGTTTTGTGCCAGTGGGTCATTTTTAAGACATGTAGTTCTTTTAGCTGTCATTCAGCTGCTGCAGCTTCTGGGGAAAAAAAAAGAAAAGAAAGAAAAGTCACAAAGCAGCTTTACAGCTATGCTGCTAAAACTACTCCTTCTATTTACAGATTATCTTCTGTGCTCCCATGAAGACAGACGTGTCTCCCTGTGCCCCCCCCCCCCCCCCCCCCCCCCCCCCACACCCACACACACACTTCCCTGCTTGCTCTCTTTCGTCTTGTGAACCCTTAAGGAGCCTCTTTTTTTTCCCTGCATATCTTCCTAATTCGAAGGATTTGATCAGCTGATCTCAACAAAATTGATCAACTTCTCCCGACAGGAGTCAAGGTAACAAATTGGATTTTGCTGTTTGGGTTGCTGAAATCAGGATTGTCTACAAATTTGTGTGGATGTGTCGAAGCTTGGCATCACTCAGACTGAATTATGTGGAGCTGCGTCAGAGCTGGAGCAGGCTGTTATCAGGACTGTGAACTTTCTGGCAGCACCAGAATGGTTGGGAATAATCTTGAAGAAAGCTGTAAGCTTGACTTTCGGCGTAAGGAATCAATTTGGCTGTTTGGAATCACCATCACAGAAATGTACCAGGGAGACTTTAAAAGGTAGAAATGGCAATTTACGAGTTCTGCTTGACCCAAACTGTGGCCTTGACAGGGGACTTATCTCAATACCTCCTGGCATGTTTAGGAAAAACAAAGATGCTTTGTCTGTCTCCTCACCCCTCTCTTCTCCAAGGCTGTCGATATGTGACAGAACCTCAACTGAGCTGATGATAAATAACACCTCTTATCTGGACAATGGCTGGGGGTGGGGGTGTTTCTGGACTATGCTATGACCTTCCCTTAAAATTCAATGTCTTCACCAACCTATATGTATCATATCTATTTATGTGCTATGCTGTGGTAGGTTTTTTTTATGCCTCAAATCGTGCCCTGTCTAGGACATGGTGTGAGAGATCTTTTTTCTACCATCTCCCCTCATGTTTTTCATCCCTTTTCTCATCTAAGCAAAAATACTATTGTGAATAAGAAGGCTGTGCTAATTAGCAGAAGCTTTGTGTTCTACGTCCATCTTTCGGACGACTGTACGTACATGTTCTCGTTGTATCGCGGTTCAATGATAATAAAGCTTATTCTGATTCTGATTCTCATTCTGAGAAGTAAATCTTCTCTCATCTGCAGCCCTGAAAGTGAGACAGAAACTGAGGTCTGAATCAGAGTGCAGGCAACAAGAATAATGGTGATAAGTGGAGGATAAAGACAGTCATACTTACTATCCCTCTATTAGCCAAGTGCATTTGGTCTTGTACTTGTAGTTAAATGGACCATCTGTGAGAGACCCAGACAGGTCTGTCAGCCTGCAAGAAGAAATACAGTGATCATTAATAACGATAATCAGCAATCAAACTGAGAAAACAGACTACTTTAACTCTTGACAGAAAAAAAAATCATCTCATGTCCCCTACAACACATCCATCCATCCATTATCTTTACCCGTTTATTCCATTTTGGGTCACGGGGGTCGCTGGTGCCCATGTCCAGCAATCACTGTGCGAGGGGCGGGGTACACCCTGGACAGGTCGCAAGTCCATCACAGGGCCACATAGAGACAAACGAGACAAACAACCATTCACTCTCTCACTCACACCTAGGGACAATTTAGAGTTACCAATCAGCCTAACATGCATGTTTTTGGTCTGTGGGAGGAAACCGGAGCACCCGGAGAAAACCCACGCATGCACGGAGAGAACATGCAAACTCCACCCAGAAAGGCCCCTGGACCGGGGTTTGAACCAAGGACCTTCTCGCTGAGAGGCAGCAGCTCTACCAGTTGCGCCACCGTGCTGCCCCCCCTACAACACAAAGCAATGAAATCCTACATCTTGGATATTCTATAATCATGTGAATCTAAAGGACTGTCTCCCAAGCTTTACTCAGCATGTGGGCATACCAACACGTGGAGTCAACACGCTGGACCGTGTTTACACGAACGTAAAAGATGCATACAAAGCTGAACCCTGCCCCCACCTAGGACTGTCAGACCACATCTCAATCTTTCTGGCTCCTGCTTGCATGCCCCCGCTGAGATGCTCCAGACCGGTAAAAAAGAAAGTTAAATGTTGGATCCAGGACAGTGGCCCCATACTGACAGATTGTTTTGATCGAACAGACTGGCAGGTTTTCAGAAAAGCTGCTGAAAATGGAGGATCACTTGATCTGAACCAATACGTATCCTCAGTTCTGGGTTACATTAGTACATGTAGTGACACTGTCTCCACTATCAGATATGTTAAAAGCTACCCAAACAGAAAACCTTGGCTGAATGCAAAGGTGCGCACCCTGCTGGAAGCCAGGAACACCGCCTTTGGGTCTGGAAGCTCAGAGGAGCAGAGTAGGACAAGGAAAGAACTGGTTGCTGGTATTAAGAAGGTCAAGGCCACATGTGCACAGAGGATCAAGGGTCAATTCATCTCACACGACCCTCAGAGCATGTGGAGGGGCATTAAGTGCAAAACAGATTATAAAGGAAGGAGCGAACAATGCCCCAAAGACCCATCTCTGCCTGATGCCCTCAACAAGTTCTATGCACACTTTGAAGACCCGAACAGACCATCCAGCACCAGACTCACCTCACCACTGGATGAAGAGCATCTCAGCGTGAACTCAGCCGAAGTACGGAGTACTTTCAGAAGGATTAATCTACACAAGGCAACCGGCCCAGACAACATCCCCGGAAAATTGTTGAAAGAATGTGTCGATCAGCTCTGTGAGGTGCTGGCAGACATCTTTAACACCTCACTTACCTTGGAGACAGTTCCTACCTGCCTCAAGACTGCCACCATCATCCCAGTCCCAAAAAGCTCTACAGTGACTGGTCTGAATGACTATTGGCCAGTGGCTCTCACCCCGATAGTCGCTAAATGCTTCGAAAAACTGGTCATGACTCACATCAAAACAACCATCAACATCAATGAGGACCCTCATCAGTATGCATACCGTGAGAACCAATCAACAGAAAATGCCATCTCCTCTGTGGTCCACACTGTGCTCAACCACCTGGAGCAGAAAAGCGCTTACGTCCGTATGCTCTTTGTGGACTTCACATCTGCCTTCATCACCATGATCCCCCAAATCCTGATGGTCAAACTGTTCACACTAGGACTAAGCCTCTCTATTTGCAACTGGGTAATAGACTTCTTAACAAACAGACCACCGTTAATGAGGATCCACAACTTCTCCTCCTCCACCATAACCCTCAGTACTGGCTCTCCTAAGGGATGTATGTTGAGCCCCCTCCTGTTTACTCTGCTCACGTATGATTGTGCAGCTACCCATCCAGGCTGTCACATCGTAAAGTTTGCAGATGATACAGCGGTGATGGGATGCATTACAAACAATGACGAGTCTAGCTTCAGGCAAGAGGTGGAACACCTGGAGAGCTGGTGCAATACCCTTCACATCAATGTGAAGAAGACAAAGGAGATGATTGTGGACTTCAGAAGGAACAAACACACCTACATCCCCCTGAACATAAGAGGATCTGCGGTGGAAGTGGTCTCCAGCTACAAGTACTTGGGTGTACACATGAATGACAACCTCAGCTGGAGCAACAACACCACCAGCCTGATCAAGAAAGCTCATCAGAGACTCTATTTCCTCAGATGGCTGAGACAAGCTGGTCTGGGAAGCTCTGTCCTCACCTCCTTCTACAGGTGTGCAGTGGAGAGCATCCTGTGCTCCAGCATCAACGTGTGGCATGGAGGCTGCACAGCTGCAGAAAGAAAAGCTTTGCAGAGAGTGGTGAAGTCTACACAGAAGTCTGTTTGAGTCAGTCTCCCCACCATCACAGACATCTACACCTACAGATGCAGGAAGAGGGCCACTTGCATTATGAAGGACCCCATTCACCCAGCACTCACACTTTTAGACCCGCTCCCCTCAGGAAGGAGGTTGAGGAGCATTAAGTGTAGAACCACTAGACTGTGGAACAGCTTCTACCCTGAGGCTGTTAGACTCATGAATCTCTAACCAGGATAATCACTGTGAAAAAATCACATCATGTTGCTGCTGATCTGTTTCAATGTTGATATGTTCATGCATGCTCATCTGCTTACACAGACTCGTTCATGTTTGTGCTGATGTTCGACGTAATGTTTTTATGCTATTAGTGCTTAGTGTATATTTAGTTGATGTTTTTCTTAGTTCATATCTTAGATGTTATCATTGTTTTTCTTTTACATTTTATTGTTGGATGTAACTGGAACCCTGTGTATATAATTTCGCTCCACCACATGTAGCACATGAGGTGCGAATGACAATACAGAATCTCTGACTCTGATTCTGCAGCAGTCACATCAGAGGACAGCTATTTGCACTCTGGACAGGTTGCATGTCCATCACAAGGTCACATAATGGCACTTTGCCGCGCTCAACACTCATGGGTTTCGCACTGCACCAGTTAGGGCCTGCCCACTGCTGGTACCCACCCCCACTCAGCCCGACTGATGAGACCACCTTGTTTGAGGTTCCAAACAGACTGCAGATGTTTATTGGCCAGCAGAGATATGTCACTGGATGACCCGCCCAGAAAATCTACAAACTGCATCTAAAACCTCTACTTCCTCATTGTGTTGACAAACAGCACCATAAGAAATGAACGCATTCACAGAGAAATATTAGAGATGATGACGCAGCATGGCTACACCCAGACTCAAAAGCAGTGCTGGGATAAGCTAAAGAAATTCAAGTTCATTTATAGGATGAATAAGGACCATGAGGGGTGGAGTGGCTTAAACATAATGACCTGTTACGATACTACCATTGCAGTGACAATCTCACCCACAGAGTGGGGAAACGAGTCACAGTGGCAAATCACCTCCACCTGATAAGAACTGATAAGAGGAGAGTTGAGTGGAGTTGCACTCTTCAATGGAACAGTGGATATAGGGACAAACAAGACAAACTACTATACTTTTCTATGGACAATTTAGAGTCACCATGCAGTTACCTGAACATGGTCATGGTTTTTGGTCTGTGGGAGTGAACAAGAAAACCCACACATGCACGTGGAGAATATGTAAACTCAACACAGAAAGACCTCAACTAACTTTTGAATCTGCACGCTGCTCTCAATCTAAAATAAATAATTTTTAATCAGTCTTTTTAATTTAATTTTTATTTTCAGAAAACACATACACACAAAACTTACAACAAAATCCCCTCCCACACCTGATCAGCCACACAGATAAGAACACATTAGACAGGGATTGACATATTTTCAGCACAAGACATAAATGGCTGCCAAGTATCATAAAATCTCTCAACAGAACCTTTCAGAGTATATCTAATCTCTTCCAGATGGACATGATTGTCATGAATCACGTCCTTGTATTTAGATCTTTATCACTCTGTTCAC